TAAATATGATGTTGGAAGGGAAGCTCTGGAGTAAAATAATAAGTATTGTAGGAACTTGTCACTCAACACAAAGCTCTTAAAGAATGAGCACATAGGGATGAGGCAGGAGGTAAATACATTTGTATAGGATTTAGCAAGGAATGTTTTTAATGCTAAATCCAAGATTCCCCAGGGTTGGAACCGGTGAAAATGTAAAGGCCCCAAGAAGCCAGCTGGTGAAAGGCCTTAGAATAAGAGTGTCATCTGTTTGGTCTTAAAAAATCACAGGAAGAGTGGGTAGAACTAAGAGTGCTAACACATATGTTGTCCCTCCCACACACACACACCCCACCCCTATGTGGCAAGGTAAGGTATGGTGTTCATGATAAAATTTATTGCTGCTGCCACATGCCACCTGCTGGGGTCAAAGCTGGTGTCTGAGAAGGAGCAATTGAGAATGACTTCTTCATTTTGGTAAGTGCCCCCAAACCCATGGTGACATAGTAGGTCCACTGTGAAGGCCTCATAGTATGGCAGATGTTGGATTGTGAGGTCGACCTGCTTCTTTGAGTAAGCACCAGGGAAAGAACTATATTTGAGAAAAGAACTATATCCTGAGAAACAGCCCCTAGCATGGTAGTCAGGGATATAAGTCTTAGAGCTAGATGGGGTTAGATTCAAACCCCAGTTCTTGTATATTCTGGGTATGAATATACACTTCTCTTCAGGAGTGTTTCCATTTTTCCGTATTCAGTTGTAACTGAAATGCACTCTTTCTCCTTTAGTGGCTGGCCCAACGCTGGAAACTTTTGTGGGAGCTAACATTAACACCATTCTTATCACAAACCTCCTCAGTGGCATGGACTACAATGTGAAAATATTTGCCTCCCAGGCCTCAGGCTTCAGCGACGCTCTGACAGGCGTGGTGAAAACACGTAAGACTGATGTCCTATGGCCTCAGCTCCCACAAGTGGTTTTGCTGCTCTGTTTTCACTGTAACTCAACCCTTGCTTCAACTCGATGACTGGCTTTTCTTTTCCTCAGTTTTGCCCTTTCTGGACGGCATTTCATGGAAAGAAAGGTGTGCTCCTTACTCAGGGCTGTAGTTCAGAGTCCCAGTTGGCAGGCGGGATGTCAGAGCCTGGCGTTCAGCTCTGCTTGATGGTGGCGGATAGGATTTCCTTCTGGAAAGTCTTTGTTGGCATTTTTCAAATTAGGTGAAATTTTCCAACCAGCCTGTATCCTAACACAGCCAAACCAGTCAGAGTTGGGCCAGGGGGAGCTTGCCTCTTCTCAAAGGCTTCACTTCT